ACCTAGTCAGTTACTATTATATCACAAACATCTGTCGACATACACTCATGCCCCTCCTTACCACTTGAGTCTCCCACTCACCACATCCCTTTATGAAAAATTTTGGATAAAATCCTATTTTAAAAAAGTCAACCCTATACTTTATATGCTGAACATAGACCTCTAAGATATCTCATGCAGCAATTAGTGGGTGCAAATAATATAGCCAACATCACATGTGTCCATCCAGTTCCATAGTCTACATCAATTGCTATTGCACTTGGGTCCATTGGATTCAATGGCTTTGGACGTATTCTTACATTCGCTGGTTTATCTTGTCCATGAATTGCAAGGCATGCCTGTTACAAATTATCTTGGTAATGTTTCTCATGAACAGCACCAATGCACTTGAATGGCACAGCATGGGTGATTTCGTCCTCGTCACTTTCATCCTGATCACTTAACTGGTCACCACTTTCTGCCCTATCACCTTCATTAATACCATATCCATGCTGACCAGGTTCAAGACCATCCAACCACTGAACCACTCAAGTAGATCTCTTTCTACAAAATCATAACAAGAAAATTTTTATTTTATTATTTTATACATACACTGTAATCTCTAAAATTAGCAATCTAATGCAAAAGTGTGTCACTATTTACAGTAATATTAGAACAACACACATATTATTTTACAGATGAAAATTGAAAAATATACTATACTGTATGCACATATATGTAAAAATCTATCCATACAAACAGGCATCATACTTCAGCAAAAATGTATTAAACAATTCGTTTAACTCAAAACATGTACATATGTATCACAGTGACACAGTACATATACACACACTATAGGGTCAAACTAGAGGCATTGTAAACACAAGACGCCATAATTTTGTACAGTGTATTTATATTAAAAGTACAAGAATAAAAACAACAAAGCGGAAATTTAACTATAAAATAACACGATAACTGTAATGCATTGTAGTATACCAACCTTAAATACTGCGCTTGTTTTCACGTTGATGATACACAGAGATTTAACGCCATCCAACTTAGAAAGAAGAGCCTCGCTATTGGGAATATAAATTAAACACAATTCCTTTTCTCAGACGGATTATTTGTAAAGCTAAAATGACAACACGTCCCATGCAATTTAAAAAAAGGTAAACTTGATATAGTAAAACACAAGTCATAATGATGATCGCAACAATACAGCAATAACATGCTGTTTTCACAAAATATCGCAGCCTGACATTCCTGTCGTTCGAAAGCTTCCATATTGGTTTTGTAGTCAGAGAGATGTTCACTCCTCGACAGTCAACAGTCAATGAAAGCCACGCGTGGAATTAGGCGCTCAATACCCATGATGCTTTGCGGTCTGCTGTCCAACCTCCTCTGCATCGCTCAAAACTTTAAATTAATAACATGTAATACATGACGGTTGACCGCTGTCGAAACTATAAATTATATTGTACGCGTGCGAGAAAGCTACGAAATATGGTAGATATACGGATTGCAAACTACTTGTGACAACGATGGAGATTGCCCTAGGCCTAGCGCTATTCCCAATATTATTTCGTTTTGAAGTTTGCGAACATACAGCAATCTATATTTATATTTCATTTTGACAAGTAAATTTGCAAACGTAAACAATCTGTGTGATTGGTCAATTTTGACATCTGTATAAAGTGGGCGTGGCCCGCAGGCTAAATGGGCGGAAATGGTAAAGCATGGGGTTTCGTGCAGGCTCTCCTTTCTCTGAGAGCCGCTACGCAGGCTATGTCAGTTTTACAATAGAAACTATAGTCTTTCACTCCTCAAGTGGGGCCATTCAACATGGCGGTCGGTCTCAAAACATGACGTACTTCCGGCTTCAATTTTTGATTGGGCCTTATATTTTTGATTGGGCCTTCTATTACGATGCTCCAGGCTTAGTGTATATCAGTGTGTTGAATACAGTCCACGGAACTTCAAAGAAAACCGACTCAATTATGAAATAATGAATAGTAATGTGTAATCACTCACATGAATGGACCTTGGCTACGTGTTAGCCTTTTAGTAAGTCAAACGGGGATTATCATGTCATTGTAAAAAAAACAACAACAAATGAGCACAATTTAAAGTATGAAAATGACAGAAAGTGAATGTCATTTAATAGCCCCGCTTAAAAATATTTAATTTAATGGCAGTGTTAGGGCACTTATATATATACAGCAGCACAAAAACTAAGGCGCTTTTTTACAATATTTCCAAAAGTTTCGCGCGAAATACGGCGAATAGCCTTCTATCATGGCATACGTATTGAATATTTATTATTAAAACGCTCCCCCGTCCGCGGTCCGCCTTTTATCCGTCCGCCTTTTATCTACACCCGTTCTTATGAATCAATTTTGTAAACGGATTCTGAAAAACCCTTTTGGGAGAAGCCATTAATTTTAATAATAATAATAATAATAATAATACAGTAGCGCATTGTTTTTCTAAAATATAATATTCTAATAACGTCAGAAATTGACATAAAACGCCATATAGGAAAGGCGCAATAACTTTCTTTCATTTATTTAATCAGTTTCCGCGACCTGCGCGTAAAAATGGTCACCCAGTTTTGTTCACAATTCTTGAGCAGGGTTTTTGTGATAACTTTATCCAGCCACCTTGAGGAGGCTCCCTACAATAGCATGCGGGATGTTCGCGGGAAAAATTGAAGCACGCGCGCAAGACGTGCGTACACATTTCCACGAAAATTTCGCGATAACAACAAAAGCAGCGGGACGTACCTTTAAAAATACTTTAAACTTTCATAAAGAGCTGATTGTTTTTGCCCAATATAGCTGAAAAAAACAATATTTATTTAAAGATATATTTAAATCTATTGCAAGGGAAATTGGAAAATGTTTAAAAAGCTTTTGCACGGCGGCGCATTTGGATTATTGACTACAATAGTTTATCGTGTTGGAAAACTCAAATTTTCGCTGGAGAGACTGATTCCCCAGCTTTTCGTAATAAGAATGGCAGATTTTCAAAGAAAAAAGACGTTAAAAATCCTCACGGTGTCAACAAAGCTCGTTCCATATCTCTTGCCATTTACGCCACACAACAAATAATTGTGAATACATCAAAACATCATAAATCCAGTAGCCATGGTCCCTATACGACAGTAACTCTCGACCAGTATTAGGCACATTCCATCACAACAACGATGGATATACCAATAATTAGTCGTAGTGCCTTCAAAAAAAGAGGAAGAGAAGTTATGTATTAGCTGTGGAGATGTTGCAAAAAGGAGCTGTATAAAGGTTGTGACAAAAGAGAGGGAAATGGGAATTGAAAATGTTGCAGTACCAGAAGAAAGCGGTTTAATAGGATTGACATGTTTGTTTGATATGGGATGGCAAAAGCGTGCACGGGCATTTAATTCACTAACAGGTCATGGGGCTGTGATGGGATTATACACACTGGAAAAGTGATGGGTAATTCATCCTGAAAGAAGAGATGTTGGTACTGCGACTGTCCTAGAGAGAGAGAAAATAGATGTCATGGCATTAGAGACGATTTACAAAGAGGAGCCAGAAAGCAACTTTAAGTTTTCAAGCTATGTCGGAGATGATGACAATACCACACTTTCAGAACTTGTGAAGTAAACTCCCTAAAAATTAGCAAAAATATTCTGACATCCACATAAAAATATCTCTATCTACACGTCCATACAATCTGAGCCAAATCATCACGATATGGCATTTATAATTTTTATATATTATATTAATCACCGTAGGAAAGTATTTTTTAGTCAATAGGAAAAGTTGGGACTAAGTCGGATTCGAACCGGCGACCTCTGGGTTACAAGCCCATCGCTCTACCAACTGAGCTATCAGCCCGATGGTATATTCAAACCCAACCAGCAACAACAATTCCTGAACACCCACATGGCCACTCACCAAAGCCATGCCGAATTTGCTGATACCATTTCGACAGTAACATGTCTTCTTCAGCCGTATATATGTTAATCATCACGATATGGCATTTATAATTTTTATATATGTTAATCACCGTAGGAAAGTATTCTTTAGTCAACAGGAAAAGTTGGGACTATACATATATATATGCTTTTATATGATCAGCTAAGTATTTTGGATGTTTAAGACTAAAGTGACAACTCTTCAATTTCCTATTTGATTGTAGTACATGCAGGAATGTGCGTATTTATATAGCCACAGCGAGTTAATTTACGATTTATAGAGCGTGCTGTGTTAACTTTAATTGATATACTAGAATACATGCTTGCAACAACACCCCTCGCCACATTTTCCAAACATTGTTTCAATAGGAATTAGTATCCTAATTACGCCAACACGAAACGCAGGCTCGTGTTGGTCGCATCATGTTAGCCATGGCAACACGATAACTGTTTTGAATCTTAATTTTTTGAATCAATCGGAAAAAATAAATGAATGTTTTACACTTTTAACCACAGAACTATCGACTTGTCTAACATATATAAAGTAGTTATGTTATTTCTCTATCTATGGGCTTTATCGTAATGTAAAATTCAAGACGAAGCGCTTCGTAAAACGTTTTTAAATGTTCATTGAAATTAACTACTTTTTGCCGATAAACTCCTCAACTTATTTTAAAATACTCGTACTTTGAAATGAAACAAAATTTAAGTCATACAGGTCGCCCATTAAGTTAATTCAAATAAACTTTCACGCAGGATACAAAAGCTGTGTTATTGTATACATGTTTTTGTAACCACCTGATATGTAAGTACTAATATCTATTGCTTTCTATAAGAGTAGTACTTGGTAAATGAGTACTTGGTGATTGATACAGGTGATCAATTGCTATAGGTTTGGTGTGAACTTGTTATCACTGCAATTTCCTGAAATACTTCGGTCAAACTCGAAATTGTTACCTGAAGTCACTTACACCTCGTCTTTGACATACATCTGTAAACATTGTGCCAACTTGTCGCTGCAAATGCAGTGCCAAATTGTCAACTTGTCGCTGCAAATGCAATGCCAAATTTTCAATTTGTCGCTGCAAATGCAGTGCCAAATATTCAATTTGTCGCTGCAAATGCAGTACCAAATTGTCAACTTGTCGCTGCAAATGCAATGCCAAATTTTCAATTTGTCGCTGCAAATGCAGTGCCAAATTTTCAATTTGTCGCTGCAAATGCAGTACCAAATTGTCAACTTGTCGCTGCAAATGCAGTGCCAAATTTTCAACTTGGCGCTGCAAATGCAGTACCAAATTGTCAACTTGTCGCTGCAAATGCAGTGCCAAATTTTCAACTTGGCGCTGCAAATGCAGTGCCAAATCTTCAATTTGTCGCTGCAAGTGCAGTGCCGAATTTTCAATTTGTCGCTGCAAATGCAATGCCAAATTGTCAACTTGTCGCTGCAAATGCAATGCCAAATTTTCAATTTGTCGCTGCAAATGCAGTGCCAATTTTTCTATTTGTCGCTGCAAATGCAGTGCCAAATTTTCAATTTGTCGCTGCAAATGCAGTGCCAAATTTTCAAATTGTCAACTTGTCGCTGCAAATGCAGTGCCAACTTGCAGCGAGAACTATAAATGCTTCGTAGTTGCGATATCGGGCAAAATATCTCCGTTTTGTCATCGTTTTTATTCGGGTTGCAAAATATAGTATTTTATTAAAGATTTGTCAACAAGATAATTTCCCATTCCTGCTAAATATGCGTGATTTTACAATAAACGGCATTGCTATACTCATTTGCTTCAAGATCATTCAATTTCATTAAAATTTCCTAATTTCGTGCAATGCTGCAGTTCTTGATTTTATTGGGTTTTGTTGCAAATATTAATAAAATGTAGGGAATCCCGCATGAATGAATAGACGGATTGCAAGAATCTCATTATATTCCAATTATTAGCAGCATATTGGTCAAATTTCGTGCAAAAACAGCAGATTTGTTTAGGTTTTGTCCGGAATTCAGTAAATAGAATATTTCACTTTGCTCTAGAACGTGTTGAGAGCTGTACACGTTCAAGAATCAAGGTCTTCAGGCGAAAATTGGATAGCAAAATCATACATACTATAGACAATAAAAGCAAACTTACCCTATACTTGAGGATTTCTTATACTTATCGTTCCTTTAAAATTTTAATAAGGTGATTTACAATTTATTGTATGGAAAGATGCCCCAAGCTTCCGGTCATGCACGTTTGAGATTAGTGAGATGACCACTCATACATAACCATGCGCCTGCGATTCTTGATGAACTTTAGATTTCGTTAATATACTTTCCTTTCTCCGGGTGTAAATAACCGAGCGGAATTAGTGTCCTCGCCACAGGCTTCGACCTACGTGTTCCGCGCGTGGTTCGGGGATTATTATATATAAATTTGGTTATATCTGCTCGTATGTATGTGATATATATCTCTTAGCTTTGTGTAATTGAGTAAACTCTAGTAAATGTGAGCGAAAATAAATTTCAGTAAAGTAGAATGTACGGCTCGTGTCAATATATAGCCTAGCTGATTTGTGAAGAAACTACATCACAATAAGTTGTTCCCGAATCTTCATTTTTCAGGCAGGTGTATATGGTGATGTCTATGGTATTGGTGTTGATAATGCTGTATATCGTCGTATTGGTATCAATATGATGACTCCCACAGGAACTGGCTGGAAAAAAATATACTACCGTGCTTCTCACATTACGACTGGTTTGAATGGCGTATATATGTTGATCAATGGAGGAATTTTTCATTCAAGAGCATGCGAGGCCACAAATTGATTCAGTTAAAGTAATACTGCAGGTAACTTATATTATATACTTTAGACCTGCTCCTGAGGGAAATAATTAGTTTTGTTTTCCCGAGCCGCCGCCACAACATTTCTCGAGATGTAGTTGAGGAAAACATTGAGATTCGAGGAAACAAAACTAGCTTTTCCCCCAGGGAACAGACATTAAGTGTATTGTTAATAAGGACGTAGGAAAATCAACAACATGTAAATGTAAACGGGATTAAATTTAAAAAACTGCTTGAAGGGTTTCAGCGCCATATTTTGTTGTTTATTGTGTATTTTTTTTATCTTTCACATTCTTAGCACAAACTTGTAAAATCATAGTTCGTAAAATTGCGAATTGTGACCCCATTTTGTTTATTTGTGTGCGTAATTGGTCGAAGAGAGCAACAACTTTTTACTTGTTGCCCACAGGCATACAGTGTACGTAATGCATTTATTTAAAGGCACCTGATCACAAATCAGCCACACACGCTTGGTCTTCTTCACACTAGTAATGTGAAAATTATTATTTGTGAAATATATTAATTAACGGTTTATTGACCGAGCGCGAGGTCCGTACTATGAATTATCAGACCGAGGTTTTTTAATATGGACCGAGCGACGAAGGAGCAAGGTCCATGCAAAAAAACAGAATTCTGATATTTCACAGTGCAGACCGAACAAGCGAGGTCAATAATCCGTTTATTATATAGCTGAACTGAGTCTGTGATGCTTTCCCGCGAATTAAATCGGCTATCGTCAGTTTCACTGGGTAACAATATACGGTAGGCATGCACGCTCAATCAAAAACAATTTGGTTGTTTGAAATTTTTATCTGTAAATTTTAATGACACACAATTGGAAAATTAAAAAGCAAAAATTTTTCTGTTTGCAAAGCAAAAATTTCCCGCCAGATAAACGACAACCGGGACACCGGTCCAGATAAGGAAAATACGGACCACGGTCTGGATAAGGGTTTTTTCGGACCGCTTGTTAACCAATCAGAATAGAGAATTTTGAAAAGCCATATATATTAAATAATACTTATCACACCAGCTTTTCGATTACAGCGCGTGCTTTAAAATTGTTCAGTCTACGTTTTACTGAGGGCCTGTTCATATGGGCAAAAGTTATCCCGGTTAGCGAGAAAACGTTTCGACAAGTTTACAAGCGAGATCTCGCCTTGGTATGAAAATAAAATGAAAAGTTACACTGCGTTCACGTGAGACAAAAAGTTTTCCCGTGTACCGAGATCTCGCTTGTTGACAGGCCGGATCTCGGTGACCGGGATAATGTTTTTCCCATATGAACACAACTTTTCCGCTTAGCCGGATAACTTTCTGTCGTGTCAGCAACTTTTCAATTCAATTGATGTTCAGTGCCACGTCACAGCCGAAAACTTTACCCTGCAAGCGGGATAAAGTTTCTCCATATGAACAGAACAAAAGTATTTGGCTAGTCGAAAATTTTTCTCGTTAACTGGGATAACTTTTGCCCAAATGAACAGGCCCTAAGTAACTATGCAAGGCTTCGAAACGGGAATCTCCCGTGTTTCTTTTTAAGAAATAGAAAACGAGTCGCGTGCGTTTATGGTATGATAATGCACGCGGGGAATGTTGGGAGAATACGCAAGAAGCGTGTAAACACGAGGCGAAGTCGAGTGTTTTACACGCTTCTCGAGTATTTTCACAACATTCGCCGAGTGTATTATCACACCATAAACGCACGCGACTCGTTTTCTATTTCTTTTATAATATAATTAAAAGTAGAAGATTTTACACAATAAATAATTTTCCTCAAAAGATTGGCATTGAAATTCTCCTAACATGTAGTCAGTGACGTCACGCGCATGCTTTTACTGTCGCTTGAATTTTCAAGCAAGCGAAGGAACAAAAACAATACAAAATTTTGATAACATTTTGATGCTAAAGTTATGAAGCAACTGTTTAAAATTCCGAGGGAAATACTAAATTTAAAATTCCCAGTGATACACAGACTAATTTGCTAATGTTTTTCAGCATCTGGGCAGTCGGATCAGCCATGAAGGACGTTAAATCGTAGGTTTCGTCGTGTTTTTCGTTTTGAAATATTGTATTTTTTTTCCATTTGCCGAAAATATATATATCTAGCAGTTTTTATTAGAACCATTGAAGATACTTTCTAAATCACTTCTGTTCAGTTTTTGTTGCCATTTTCTATGTTTTTGGTATTGCTTTTGGTATTTTTTCTTGGCTATTTTGTGGCGCCGGCTCGAGACAAAAACAAATTCGACGAATGCCAAGCCGCGGTTAATTTTACTGATTTTACACGTAATACTAGCTACACATAAAATTGCTTTTTTCCTTTGGTATATTCCTTCTTGCTCTCTGATAAATTTTGTATTTTAAAAAAAGCTATAGTTTCGTTTATATTTTAGGCTAAAACCATGGAAAAACACAGAAAGAGCAAGGCAGTGCCACGGACTACAGTGCATTATTGCATCACAATGCACGCACATTAGCCAATTAAATTGTCTGTTATATCCCACTTATATTATAAATAGATATAGAAGCACGCTTCAAGTCCAATTAGCGGACTCGCACTATAAATGTTATAGTATAAAGTATTTTATTTAGCATTACCTCATTAATGATGCTTTTAATAAGTCAGTATTTGTGGATACATGTGTGACGTCATGATAGTAAACATTTCACTTGTTCCAATCGTATATATCATAACGTTTCCCACCTTCTTTTGTCTACCTTGAGATAGAAAAATTGGATTGAATTGTTTTATATAAAGTTTAAGAAATGTAAAATGTAGAAGTAAATTGAATGTAAAATATAACTGATTAAAAATTTCAATTTTGAAAGCCATACATCTATGTAATATTCTCGGCTACTATTGTGTTGAAATTATATTAGAGCTACTGCGACTGCTCCAGTTGAAGTCTGTGTTCACAACATTTAGAGCAAGAAATCATACGATTTCAAAAAAAGGAAGTTTACATAATTTTTTTTTAACAGTTCTTTCCCTGGAATTTTATACCGTAAACCTCGAATATAATCCCCCCCCCGAAAACAATTCCTCCCCCCGTGCATATAAGCCCATCACATGCACTAACGCTTACCTCATTCCAATTATATGCCCCCCCCCCACCTCCCCCCATGAATGTAATTTATTACTATGTTTATAACTATTACCTCTTTTAATCACTATTATTACTATGCTTGTTTAACACTAAGTCTTATTACACCAAAACAAAAGATCGTCCATGTATAAGCACCCCCGTATATAAGCCCCCCCCCCCCATTGTATAAGCCCATCAAAAATCGCTTACGAACGACTATAAGCCCAGGGCTTATAGTCAGAGGTTTACGGCAATTCAGTTGTTGTACTAGAGGACACTCCGACATTGCGAAAATTCGCCAGCGAATTGACTACTTGCGTAATAGACTAAATTTTGATCTAGACAAAAATTCAATCACAGCTTGATAGAGCATCACAAAATTAGTAATATTCCAAAGTTCCGTAATATTCCAAAGCTGTGATGAAATTTTTGTCTAGACTTGTTTATATCAAAATTTAGTCTATTACGCAAATGGTCAATTGAAAACTAAGATGTATCATGCATGCAATCGAACCCCAATATTGTAATATTGTAGCTTCGTCGGGCAAGTTTAACAATTTTAACGACGCTCTTGTCGGGGCAAAAATATGTAATTGAGTAAACAATTTTATGTAAATTATCGAAAAGCAATGGTAGTAGGGAGTTGGGGGGGAAGTTGGTTATTGTCCGGGAAATTTTTTTCTCGAAAATTTTTTAGCGACTGCAATGTCCGCCTGGCACTCCCT